GCCAACACATGCAGCACCCACCAGCCGATTCAGAAAGGTAGGCACAAAGTCTTTTGGCAAATGTCAAACGTCAATGTTCCTAAGGAGAGTAAAGCTGGGACCAGGCAAACAGCACAGGCTGCATGGTCCACTGGGTCTTGGGGAGCAGAAGCTGTGAGATGGAGTCAAATGGGGCAAAGAGCCAGATGCAAAGGTGAGTGATGCAAGCAGGATGAGCCATCACCCCGGTGTGGAATGCAGCCTGGGGACGAATTTTCACAGGGTCTCTGCTGGCTCATATGGTCTCCTGGGCCTGCATTTCTCACACTGAGCAGCTGAGCAGGTGCACCAGCCGACCATGGAGAGAAGCACTGCAATCGCATTTTAGACAAGGGAGAAAGCGGTAAAGCTCCACCCCACTAACAATTGTAAGAATCTTCTTCCTTTTAGGAATTTTGAATTCTCCAAATGTGGGCCAGGCTGCTAACCAAACATAAATGGTACTGGACAAGGTTAAATCATGAAGTCAAAACTAGACCACATGGCATTATGCACTTGAGTTCTATGTTTTAAGATGGGCTTTGACTTTTCATGATCCAAGGTGATTTCCAGCCCCAGGTTATGTATTAAACATATGGCATATTGTGGTTTACAAAGCACTTTCCTATGATTATCTATTTAGAGCTTCACAACAACCATGCAAAGAAAGGAAATAAGTATTCCAGAGTCCTATAGGAGACCATTGTGCCAAAGAAGGCTTGGCTCATGCCTCTAATTCCAGCACTTTCAGAGGGCAAAGTGGGAGGATGGCTTGAGATCAGGGGTTCAGGACCAGCCTGAGCAACATAGTAACACCCTGCTTCTATAAAAGAATTTTTTTTTATTAGCCAAACGTGGTGGTGTGTATCTGTGGTCCCATCTACTCATGGTGGCTGAGATGGGAGGGTCACTTGAGCCTGGGAGGTAGATGCTGCAGTGAGCCCTGATTGCACCAATGCATTCCAGCCTGGGTAACAGAGCAAGACCCTGTATTTTCTACAGCATAGTTAGAGCATGTTAACAAATGTCAATTAGGACACTTCTACTTTTGGCCACAAAGTAATAGCTTTTATCAAAACATCAGCTTAATTCTCCAACCTTCAGCCATGAACAACTCTAAAAGCCAAAGAGGATGCATACACAGAAATAATGACAATATAAGGCTAGTTTTTGAGGGCACCCAAGGGCCGTCAAGGTAGGTAGGAACTGAAGGACCAAAAGCCACAAAAGAAGAGAAGTGGACTCAGGTGAGCATCACTTTTTGCTTTTGCTTTTCCCCTCAAGACATTTATAAATTGAAACCTAGAGAAAAGAGTCCAAACAGAAAGTAGTGGCCAGAGGCTTTGGTACTCTGGCTGGTTTGGGAGGATCCAAGTTAAAGTTTAAGGATAAAAAGGAGGTCAGGACTTGAGTGGGAAAAGAGAAATGCAGAGGTTTATGCCCAAAATTCTGGGTCTACTTTTTCCCTGGGGCATTTGTTGGGTTCTAAGCTGTCATGAGAGACTTCTAGAAACCAGCATGGAACAGGAACTGGAAGGATAAAGCAGAAGCTGTTGTGCGGTGCTAGAGAAACAAAAGTTAGAGTTCAAAGTTTGACAAAGAGGAGAGGACTTGCCAAACACCTTGGGGTTTCAGTTGAGTTTCCAAAAGAACTATGCCCCAGAAATAATAGCCCAGTGCTTGCAAATAGCCCAGTGCTTGCAAAATCTGAAACTGGATAAAACTGGATCAAAATGACTTGCCAATATTCTATCTATTTGCAAGAAGAAAATTACATCTTTCATAGATAAAGATGAAAAATGCCAGGATGTCCATACTAGTCACACTAATGTCAACCATTCAATTAAAAACTACCAGCCATGCCAAAAAGCAGGACTGAAACAACTGAAAACCAAGAAGAAAAGCCTGATAATACAAATAGACCTACAAGTAACCTTAGCTGGGGACTTTAATAAAAGTTTAATTAGTATATCCAAGAAAATATAGAGAATTTGATTAAAGAACTGCAATAGATAATTATTCTAATTTAAAAATCGAGTAGCTAAAATTTAACATCAGTGGGTGGGTTTAATAGCAGTCAGACACAGCAAAAAAAAAGTGGAGTACTGGAAGATCAATCATTGGAAAAGATTCTGTCTAGCATCAAGAGAAAAAAATATAAAATTTTTAAAAGGCAAAAGGACATTTGCAGCAATATGAAAAATTAAACATTTGTATAAGTTGATTCCAGAAACAGAGGAGGAAGGGAGGGAGGGTGAAATGGGGGAGTGGGAAAAGAGAGAGAAAATATGAATATGAAAGCATTAGAAGCAGAATTAGACAAGAGACACTGGCTGAGATTTCCCCTAAAACAACAACAACAAAAGGCATGAAACCACAGATTAAGGCTCAAAAGATCTCAAGCAGGGCAGGTAGGAAGAAAGCCTCACCAAGTTACATCATAAGAAAGCCACTGAAACCCAAAGATGAAGAGAAAATCTTAAAAGCAGGCAGCCAGAAAAAAAGACATATTATCTTCAAGGCAACTATAATAAGACTGACAGCTGATGTTTCTGAGGGAAACCATGGCAGACAGAAGAAAATGGAAAGAATGTTGAAAGAGCTAAATGAAAACAACTGCCAATCTAGAATTCCACATCCCATAAAAATGTCCTTAAAAAAGGCTTTATGAAAAATAAAAGCTGATAGAATTTATCACCAACAGATATACATTAAGAGAAAAACACAAAGGGATTTCCTAGCATGAAAGAAAATCATCTGAAAAGGAGGAAAAAAATTATAGAGAAATAAAAAGCACTAGAAGGGTTAAACATGTTGGTAATTCTAAATTAATATTCAAACAAAAATAATATTATTATTCAGAGTTTGAAATATATGTAGCATTAAAATATATGTAAACAATTGCACAAAAGATGCTGGGAGTAGTGGATGAAGTTAATGTGCTAAGATTTTGCATAGTCCTAGGTATGGTAACAGTACTTAAGGATGCATATTGCGATGTCTAGAGTAACTACCTAAAGAATAACTAAAAATATATATAATTATCCAGCTAATACAGGGTAAGTTGAATAATTAAAGACACTTGATTAATTTGAAAGAGAGAAAGGAGGAATAATTAAAACAAATTGTTTTATACACAATTAGAATGATTGATTAATTTGAAAGAAAGAGACAAAGGAGGAATAATTAAAACAAATTGTTTTATATGCAATTAGAATGAGTCATCTGATTACAAGGTGAAAATTTTCAGATTAATAAGAAAGAAAAACTTAATATATGCTGTTTACAAAAGATGCAGCTTAAAATCAGAACAAAGAATATTTGAAAATTAAGAGATGGATAAAAGATATCCCATGCAGATACTAGCTAAAAGAAAGCTTATGCACCTATATTAATATTTGATAAACTTTAAGGCAAACATATCATTAGAGATAAAGATGTTTCATAAATATTAAAAAGGTTCAATTCAGTACAAAGATATACCAATCCTAAATTTTTATACACCCAATAAAATAACTCAAAATACCTGAAGCAAGAATTATCAGAAATAAACAAAGTAAAAAAGAATCCTTAAACCACAGTAGGATATTTTAAGATACCTCTGTCAGTAATCATTTGAACAATTTGCATAACAAACTTGACCTAATTGGCATGTGTAGAAACCTATCCCTAAAAACTTCAGAGCACACATTCCTTTCACATGCACATAGAGTACAGAATGTTCTCGGACCGCAGTGGAATTAAACTCAAAATTGAAAACAGAAAGAAAACTGAAAAATTATCAGATATTTTATAATAAAGTAACAATAGTAGAATCTTATAACGCAAATCAAAATTAGAATAACTAAGGAAAACACGACACCTCAACACAGGTGGTGCACAGTTAGAACTGCACGTAGAGGAAAATTTCTAACCTTAAATGAATGCATTAAAAAAATGGAAGGCTGCAAAATCAAGGATCTAAGCTTATATCTTAAGAAATTAAACCAATACAAAATTAAACTAAAATAAAATATAAGCAATAAAATCATCATCAATATATGTGTAGGTAATAGAGATGAATTAACAACACCAAAGTATACAAATCATGTATTTCTATATTCTAGGGCACAAAAGTATATGTTTCCACATAGTAGCAACAACCAGTTAGGCCCCATAATGTGATGCTGCAGCAAACCAATTCCAGATGGCTAAAATTTCTTTTAAAATACCTGAAAACTAACAATATCAGTTGTTCATAAGGATGGGATGCAGCTGAAACTTGCATACTCTACTCCTGGGAATGTAAGTTGATCCTAGGAAAATGTTTTGCAGTATTTATGAAAACTATACAGATCATAACCCATGCCTTGGCAATTTCACTTCTAGATATGCACCCCAAATAATATAAATACATATTCATCAACACACATGCAAGCATGTTCACAGAAACTATTCATGACAGCCTATGACTGGAAACTACTCAAATATCCAACATCCTTAGACAAATCAGTTCGATGTGTAAATAGAATGTATTGCACAATAATAAAAAAGAAGAAAGACCTGCTTCATGTAACAACATAGAAGACTCTCACAGACATAATGGTGAATAAAATAAGTCACAAGATACTAACTATGGTATTGTTACATTTATAATAAGTAAAAGTAGGCAAAACAAATCTATTACCGTAAGAATCAGAATAATGGTTTCTCTCATGGGAAGTAGGTAGACTATTACTAAGACAGGCCAGGAAGCAGGCTTCTCGGGAATTGGTAATACTTTGTACCTTGAACCACTGTATCTATGGTAACTACATTTGCAAAACTTTATCAAGCTACAGAATGTGCACCAAATATTAGTATATTTTACTGTTTAAAAAAGCAAAATGAAACAAACAAGTATCAGATCATTTCACCCTCCCTGTTTAAAACTACTTAACAGCTTCCATTTTAAAAATTTATGGTTATTCTCCAAGCTCATCTCACACCACACTCCCTCTTACCTTACCACACCTCAGCCTGAGGTCTGCTCCACCACAAACCCTGGATTCCCACTCTTCCTTTTTTTCTGAAATGTTCTTCTCACAACTTCTCTCACATGTCCAACTCTACTCTTTGGGTCTCAGCTCAAGTGGTATCTCATCACAGACACCTTCCCTGGCCACCATGTCTAAGTGGTCTGCTGCTGTGCTCCTCACTGGTCAGGGCCCCAGGGCAGCAGGGCCTCTGGCATCTTCATTGTTGGGTGCCCAGCATCTGGTAGTGCCTGCCACATGGAAGGAACACGTGAATATTTGTTGAAGGCATGAACCATTCCGATTCGCTCTCATATGTCCTTTAGTCCAATTTTCAATGACCTCTCTTTGTCTGTAACAGAGACTCTCGTCTCTCTTCTCCCTCTGGGATGAAGGCTCTGTTGGTGCAGGAATTGTGCTTGTTTTCTCAGTTTCTGTGTCTCGGTAGGGAGAGCAATGCACACATTCTGCTGAATAAATATTTTGAATGAAAGAATGAATGCATGAGTAAATAATTTGGCAGCTATGGTAAGGAAGTAAAAATTAAATGTTTTAACCAAGACTATATTAATCTGAGTTTTTTCCCTAAACTTGAGACTTATAGCTGCCTCTTTGTGCTACAATAAATGCTAAGAACATGCAAAGGTCCAAGCCACAGGGCCTGCCCTGTAGCAGCGTGAGGTTCAGAGGCAGGCAGAAGTGGGGAGGCCTGACTGCAGCTTGGCTGCTTCACCAAACACCGTGGGAACATGGCGTGGAGTGGAAGGGTTTCTTGAGAAAGCCTTGAGTCCTCAGAGCATCCCATCATGAACAAAACGAGCCAAGATGCTTCACACAGGAAATTTCCATAGTGGTGGGGACAAACCCAGTACTGATGCCCCAAGTCCCTAACGTTTAATTTCCGAATATAGTTTATAAGATAAAATCCAAGAGGACAAACTTGCCCAATTTATACAGAAAGGCTTTGTGAAGTGAAAGATGTAAGTAAAGCTAAGAGAATAAGTAAATTACCACCTGGTGTATTTTATGCCTTTGCTGATAATTAATAATTAGCTGACTTCAATGTGAACCTGATCTTCTTCAAACACTGAAAAACAACTTGAGTTATACTCCATGAAAAGGTTCTGAGTAGTATTTAATTAAAAATTTTAAAATCAGCCTTTAGAAAGTTTTGATGTTTATTTTATTACATCCCTGAAGCACAGCTCTTGGGATAGAAAAAGCATAGGGAGTAGCTGTGGGTTTTGAAACATTTTATTTCATCCTGAGCCTTTTCATTTTATTGTTTTGAGAGAGGGTCTCACTCTGTTACCCAAGCAAGTATGCAGTGGCACATTCAAGGCTGCTGGAAGAAAACATGGCATATACAATTTCCTATAAGTAGTTTGCTGGGAGAAAATAATATGTCAGCCATTTAGCAAGTACAAAATAATTTAACATTGAACAAATGACTGATGCTACCATCAGCTGTATAATTAGCAAGGTCCTCAAAAACAGCTACTGGACAGTTTCATGCATAGAATGCACATAACACAGTGATAACACGAAATCACAGAGTAATATCACAGACGCGTTAAACCTTCAAGGATTGTTGAAATATCACCAAGAATGTTCACTGAACTAACCTTAGTTTCTAAGGTTTATGCAATCACTTGAATTTTACTAGCCCTATCAATAGTTAAGAAACAAATTCAAAAATGGATTCCACCACTTCATAAGCAAACTTGCAATTTATAAATCCTGGAAATACAAGAAACGAACCAGTTGTAAAATCAGAGGATAACTTGGGATGAAACGAGGTCACTGACCCATAGGGATTGTTTCCTCCAATGGAGCTTCACAACTCGTAAATGTGAAGAGGATTTCACTTCCAGCAACATGGTTTTGCTTTAAAATTCCAAGTAGGGATACCAGTGAGGTCCCCAAGGCTCGTCTTCACAGGGCCTTGCTCTCACACCCGGTCAGTGTCTGTCCCTGTGCAGGGAGGAGGAGGTGCCAGACCAATCAGTGAGCCAAGAGTCTTTTGTGCTCAGGTTATGGGATTTGAAGACTGTGTTTTCTTTTTCTTTCTTTCTCTCTCTCTCTTTTCTTTTCTCTTTTTTATTTTTATTTTGAGGCAGGATCTCACACTGTCGCCCAGGTTAAAGTGCACGGGCGCAACCGTGGCTCACTGCAACCTCTGCCTCCCCAGCTCAAGCGATTCTCCTGCCTCAGATTCCCGAGTAAGTGGGACCACCAGGCCCAGCTAATTTTCATATTTTTAGTAGACAGGGGGTTTCACCATGTTAGCCAGGCTGGTCTCAAACTCTTGGCCTCAGGTGATCTGCCCACCTAGGCCTCCCAAAGTGCTAGGACTACAGGCGTGAGTCACCACACCCAGTTGAGATAGTGTTTCCTTCTTGGGAAAACAAGGATCTTTCCCAAGTCTCCCACCTGCTGTGTAATTCCACCCAGTGTGTGTCTAGTTATCTCTTGCATTTTGCATGCTTAACATTTTGCTTTAGTCAACAGAGTCATGTGTCTGGAAGCTGCTGGAGTCCTTCTCACAAGATCTCCACCAGTGGGATGGGTGCGGTGAGCCAGAACCCACCTACCATTTGCAACTTCACCATTCAACAACTAGTGAAAGTTCCATTCCAAACACAATACCAGGCAGGAAAAGGCACCTGAGGGAGAGAAAGGAAGGGGCTGGGAAGAGGATGTCCCTCTGAGGGCCTCCGAAGGTGAGTGCAGGCTGCTTTTTAACGCCTGCTCCATATCCCTGCTTCTCTGGGGGAAGCAGATTTTGTGAACTTCCTCAGCAGAAGTCAACCCAGCGTCTACGCATGACCTGTGGTGGCTCCTGGAGGCTGAACATGGCAGCATCTCCTCCTTCTGAACCCTCCACTCCATCAGGGCCCCTTTGACCTTTCACCATCCTCCAAACCCTCCCTCATTGTCTACCTGGACCCATTGACCAGTTATGAGTTCTCAGTGATTTTTCGACTTAACTTTTCTTTATATGTGCCCACTGGGGACTCTCATAAATGCCTCCCTGCCTGCCATGGGTACCCGTCTGCTCTCAGATCTCTGTAAGCTTCGTTCACTCACAGCTGCTTCTCAGTAACAATGAGAAACGGCTTGTCCCGCCTTTGTGTCTGGACGTACTCTCTGGTCACCTGGACTTTGGCAGCATGTGAAGCCTGCTGGGCGTTTAGTGCCCCCATCACCCCAGTGGCCTGCGGAGCATCTGCTGTGGGCTTCCCAGTGGTGTTAGGACACACAGGGTGTGGAGACACGGCGGCAGTTCATCCTCCTGACCACCAGGTGGCTGTCACTTATATTTCCCCAGGAACAAAGAAGCGAGCCAGCATTAGAGAAAGCTTTTCTTTTCTCAAGATGATATTGCCAAGGTCTGAGCTAAATTCAATTCAGGACATGCTTGACCCGCGAATGTCTCCCTTAGTGTTTCTCTAACTAGAACAGGCAGATCAGACACATCATCAATTCACAGGAATTCATCCTCCTCCAAGAGAAGCTGAAATATTAGTTGTGTTTGCAGTTCCTTCCCTGGATAAGAAAATACATTCAGGTCAAAGATGACAGCATTTCTGAGTCTCAATGGTTTCTCATCCACACAGTAGCCAGGTGTGTAGTAAAAATCTTCCCGTGCCCCCAAAATGTCTGACTTTTGTCCTCAGCTCCTGGGCGCTCCAGCGCCTCCTTCTGGGCGCTTTGGGCTTGCTGGATGGTGACGGTATGACTGAGTGGGGGCTCCAGGCCAGGCAGCAGCAGAGGCCCCGCAGGTTGACACACACGGAAGCCAAGGAAGTAGCTCATCTCGGGTCAAGCGTGATGGAAGTGCTGCCTCAGAGCTTCTCCTGGATGCCGCCCTGTGTGCTCCGGCCCTGGCTAATTTTATCTGTACCCTTGCCCTGTGATAAAGTGTCACAATGTGTACAGCAGCTCTCAGGGAATTCCACAAGTCCATCCAGTAAATCATTGAAGCTGAGGGTTGTTTTGGAAGCCTGGAACCTGCATTTGGGTAGACATGAGCATCCTGTTGGCAACATGTCCCCCAGCTTCATTGTTTAAACTCCTTGCACCAGGGTTATGTTTTGGAAAGATCAAATCTAATCATTTTTCTGCTCAAAACCCTCCAGTGGCTTCCATTGTCAAAGTCCTTCCATCATCCAAGTCCTTCCAGCATCCTACCATGGCCTCATTACAAGCCTGTGCCATGCCCCACCTGACAGTTCACATCTGAGCTCATCTCCGGTTGCCCCATTCCCTGACTCGGCCCCAGGGTCCCCCTGCCAATCCCTGGCCATGCTGAGTGTGTGCCTCCCACAGGGCCTTCATACCCATTCCTCTGCATGGATGCCCTTCCCCTCATCATCCAAACTGCCTGCCCCTCATATCCTCATATGTCCCCTAAATGTCATCCTGTCCTTGATGCCATGCCCAATAATTCTACATAGACGCCCCCAGTGGGTGCTCCATACCCTTTCCTGTTTGCTTTTCTCCAAACGCTCCTGACTCCACACTCTACACTGTTGTGCCTGGTGTCCTCCCTTCACTCGGAGGAGGCAGCTCCGTGAGCTTTGTTCACCACTCACCCAGCAGGTGGAATGGGGCCCACAGCAAGCACTCAGGAGCTACATTCTGAAGGCCTGAGTCGGCAGGTGCCCCCACTCTACAACACATTGCAGATGGAGAGAAATAAAACATGAAGAAAGGGCACTGCCTTTAATGAACCTAAAGCCAACCCGACCAAACACACATGTGTGTGCAATAACTGGGAGACAGCTGCCACGTGCGATCAGGCTCACATGTGATGGAACCCACGCGTTTGGAGATGAGGAGGCTGTGCCCTGGTACGGAGTGGTCTCAAAGTGCTCAGTAAACTCAGAGGGGGGTCTACTGAAACAGGAAAACAGAAAGTGGATTCATGACTTGAAACATGAAGGCTGAGGTTCAAAGAGTCACCATGGGAAATGTGACTGGGGGCTGACCGGCAGGGGAAAAGCATCACCAGAATGCGGGGACTGGCCAACAGTGAGGGCGAAAGAGCCTGCCACTCAAACAGGCTGCACCAAACAGAAGCAAAGGCGGCATCCACTGCTCTAGGACCTTTGAGATGGGAATAAACCAGAGTGTTTTGAGTCTAATTATTCAGAAAAATCAGAGTGATGCAGAATGGCAGAATTTTAAAACAGCAGTTTTCTACATCAAAGGAAGGGCACATTGGCTCTCTTTGGAGTACAGTTTTTAAAAAGTTGCTGAGGTAAACTCAGTGAAAATCCAGACAATGCTTACTCCCTGCAAATATGCAAAATAGCCAGTCTCGTCACTCACTTCATTAGGGCAAGAAAGGAAAAGAATTCCTCACTAGCAATTGAGATTTTCTGGCAAAATGCGAGGAGGAGAAAACTTTGACTCAGAATCCCCTCTGTTCAGCTAGGTGGGCCTGAAAATGTCCAGCTTGGCTCACTCAGAGCAGAGTCTCCGTGGACTTCCCAGGCTGTCCTTCCACTCAGAAGACAGAGAATGCCTTTCAGCGTCTCAAGGTGCCTTGGGTCTGTCCCCAGGGGGATGCGCACAGCTGTAGTTAGAGGAAGGGGCATTTCCTCCATTCTGCGGAGAAACCAGCTCACAGGAGGTTTTGACGCAGTGATTAGCATCCAGGAGATTATGAGAAACACGCATTTCTATGCTCTTCTCACGACCTCTGATGATGACCACATTATGCTGAGGCAGGAGGGGTTCACCCGGTCATTTTTCATCAGAAGAAAAGGAACATTTCTCCAGGAGCTCAGAGCTTCTCTGGCAGGTAGAAGGGAATGTGAACTCCATCCCGAGTGCAAGCACAATGACGACCTTCTAGAATGAAAAGGGGCATTGTTGCTGCAGAGCAGCTGGAGGGGTGAACAACACAAGAGACGCAAAGAGCCAATGTCTGTCCAGCCATGAGCCAAGGGCAGACTCTGCAGAAGGCCAGGGTCACACAGAGCACTCCAAGAGTGACTCCAGGAAAGACAGAATGATGCAGACCTGGGTCAAAAAGGCCGTGGGGTGACGCCATTGAACAACAGGATTTGGGTCAGAACGTTTACTAATGTTGAATCCCACTGAATACCTATCAATCAAAAATAGCAATTGAAGGTCAACATGATGAAAACCATAGGCAGAGGGGTGTGGGAGCGCCTTCGGCGGGGTGTTGAGTCCATCCTGAATCTCGTCAAAGCAGAGGAAGGAGTGGGTGGGGGGCTGCCACTGACTCACTCACATCCCCATGCAACCCACATCCTGGGTCCTTTCCCTCCCGACAGGCGCGACGCCTTCCTGGGCAGCATGGGGTGTCACTCCTGCTGGAGGCGCTTCCTCCCACACCTGCTCCAGCATCGGTGAGACCCACCAGAAAGCAGGAGCTACTGGCCGCCTCCTCCCCACTCTAGAAGCGATGCCACGGGAGGATCACCGGCTGTAGGTCCCTCCCATCGCGCCGGACACTCCCCGTGAGGACCAGATTCATGCGTGGCCATCCCCACGGGCCCTGTCGTCTACACGAGGCTGAGACCCAGCAGCCTCTTGTTCTCCATCCTCTCCCCTCCCCGGGTTCTCCTCCCCCGTCCCGTCCCGCATGAACTGCTGGGCTCACAGCTCCTCTCTGCTCCACTCCCTCCACATCTCCAGCTGGAGGAGAAAACCCACGGCCGGGGATGCCTCTGCGGTTCCACCCTCTGCGGTTCCACCCGGGACTCCCGCCCGCGATGCGAGGCTGCGAGTTCCCCTCAAAACTCGCAGGGCCTTTCTCCTCTGCTCGCGCCAGCGGCCTTCCTTAGATTCTCCACAGCACGTGGCTCTGCATGTCTCCATCTCCGACGCAGCTACATTCTCTGAAAGCTGACGCCTGACCTTGGCATCTCCTCAGCACTGCTCAGGCGCGGGCAGCGGCTGTGCCCTGCGAATATCCTCCAGGCGAGCCGGCTTGAGTCCAGCTCAGCAAATGGAAGTCCAAGGACCTCCCAATCTGTCTGGGAGGCGTCTAGGGGCGTCTGGGAGCGTGGGGAGGCAGCGGGGACCCTGGCCAGGCGCCTGGGAGTCTGTGGAAGGCATCTGGGAGCGCGTGGGGAGGCGTCTGGGAGTGTGTGGGGAGGTGTGTGGAGTGTGTCGGGAGGTGTCTGGAAGTGTTTGTCCATCAGAGCTATAAAATTGATATCTGAGCTATTAAAAGAAAAAAACTAGAAACTTCATTTGTCCCTTTACTGTGCTGATTGAGTTCTGCCAGAGCCACTGGAAGCTCCCGGTGAAACAGCCACAGTCCTCCAGCCTGTGCTTCCTGCAGGTCGTGCTCTGCTCCAGGATCTGGGTGGGCCCCAGCAGCCAGGAACATTGGGCACTGTCCCTTTACTGGATTCCTCTGGTGTCACTGTGCAGCACAGTACCTGCTGAGGCCTCGCCATGCCCAAGCACAGGGCTGAGCACAGGACACAGAGGTGCGAGTGGCCACACCTTCCACACCCACTCAGCACCTGCCTGCTGCCTGCCTGCTGCCTGCTGGGCCTCCTCACGAGGGCAGGGGCCTGAGGCAGGTCCTGGGTCCCAAGGGCCTGGGAGCAGAGTCTAGGATTTGCAGGACTGAGCAGGTGGGGAGGGGGGAACAGGTCATCACCCCTGCAGCACTTTCTGGGAGAGCAAGTACCTGCGCTGGGAGAGAAGGGAGCAAAGCAGGTGGATCTGATAACTATTGGAAGGCAGAGTCAGGTCCCTGGGATTTAGAGTGTGATGGGACTGGGCTGAGGGACAGGAAGGACCCAGAGAGATTAAGTGAGAATCTCCCTCTGTCCCTAAACCTGTGCACTCGGGACATCTAAAAAGTCTCCGACTTAGAGCCAAGGACTGTGGGCTCCCTGTCTTAGAAACTGAAAGGAATATTCATCTACCTTTAAGCAAAGGCTTGTGTTTTTAAGTGAAATCATCTCAGATCCAGGAGAGAGGGCTGCAGGACTGCAGAGGACTTGGGTGAACTCCTAGGTCTCCGGTGTCTTTCCCAGTAATGTCCACTGTGTCCGCAGGGCAGGAGTTTCTGCTGCTTCTCCTGATTCCAACCTCTTGCCGCCTGGCGAGTTATTTCTGTTCTGATTCCCACCTGCGCCCTCCGCCCCAGGGCCTGTGTGGAGAAACAGGGCTGTCAAAAATGAATGAGACAGGACAAGGAGCAGCCCCTGTCTTGTTTTGCTTCTTTGGGACAAGTGAAGAGAAACAACAACAACAACAACAACAACAACAACAACAAAAAACCCTTTCCAGGCGAATGCCCTGGATTATTTTAGCAAACTCCACAGCTTTTGATAAACTTGGGCTGAGCATAAGGAAGCAAAGAGCAGTACATCTTTTTCTCTCCTTTCACAGCAGGCTTTCAGTGGGAGGGGAGGACAGGAGGCCCCAGAGGGGTCCGGGAGAAAGCAGAAGAAAGCGGAGTCGACATTTTCTGAAATGCCAAAGGTCCGGTCTCCACTTTAAACCTCTGCAGTTACAAAACAGAGGGCTGAGTCATCACTCCCATCAAGTCAGGGGAGGGGGGAGCCATTCAGAAGGCAGTTTTAATTTTTATTTTATCTTTTACTAAATATTGAGGATGGAAACCCCCAGCCTTTCCAACATGCATTTTCTCCAGTGGAGAGCTGGCAGACTGGGCCGTCTCTCTTGCCCTGCTTTTCATCTTCTCTGAGGTCTTTTGATCTTTCCCCTGAGTGGGCTCAAAAGGGATGATTCAATCTCCAAGAAGCCCAGCAATTACTTTCAGAAGGGTTAGGGAAACGTTTTCAGCCATTTCAGAAAGTTTAGAGTGGTTTTAGTTATGGAATCTGAACACAGTTCTAAATCTGCTGTGTATTCTAAATGATCTGTTCTTAAACAGATGTATTTTCCAAAGTGAATGCCACAATTTTCTGTGAACATATTCATGGATGTTTCAGAGAACAAAATTAATTCGTGGTCTAAAGTATTTGGGAAACCATGGGTTAAACAAAATAAAACAGCTTTCTTAGCTGTGCTGTGGCAGTAGGGTGCTGGCGGGGCCTTCTACTCCTTTGATAGCCGAATCTGCACCACAAAGCTCTAATAGGGAGGCACATTTCCCAAAGGCAGCAGAGCCTGCAGTGAGGTGCCTGCTGTGCGGGGAGGGGCAGATGGCTGGTGTCAGGGTGAGGGTGAGCCCTTGCCTTCACAGAAGATGTCCACATGGTGGTTCTGGACAAGCCTCTTCCTTTCTCTCAGCCGCTCCTCTTCCCCTGAAGGAAGTCTTCGTCCCACTTCTCAGGGCTGCCATGAGCTCAGAGGAGGATGCGTGGCTTGTGAGGTACTCTCGGCAGCCACGGTTGTCCTCGCTGGTATATGGAGCTTGCACCACACCGTGAGTGGGGCAGACACAGGCTTCCCACAACAAAACTCCTAGGCAGAAAGCAGAGAGTAGGAAGCAGCATCATTGGCCCCGAGAAATGATGGATCTTGCCCTCAGCAGCCCCGCTCCTGCAGCCAGAGGGGAGCGTCCCTCCCCGTTGTTCTCCAGCCCCAGGCTCCTCTCTCCTGAGGCTCATGTTCTCTGCGGCCGCATCACAGGGCACTGGGCAGCTTTGGCTGTGTCCTGTCCACAGGCCTGAGGACCCAGGGGCACTTTTACACTTCACAGCCACAAGCAGTCCAGGCTTTACCTGACGACACAAGCCCCTGACAGCCACGTGGGCTCCTGGTTGGTTTGCTTCCGCCGCCCCTATCCCAAGGAGCCCACAGGATGGCTGCTGTGTCTTTGCCTCCCTTGCACAGTCATTTGTGAAAAGACCACACTTTCCATCTCATCTCTGCAACAAGACTGAGTCCTTTTTTTTTTTTTCTTGCCAACTGAGAAGTCTTGCTTTGTCATTGAAAGACTTTAAAATTTTATTTCTGATTGTCTGGAATCTAGAAGTGATTAATTCTTCCAGCACTTCAAGACCTCACATTACTTGGACTCTTTCTATTTTCTGTCACTTCTATTTGGAAACCAGCAAATTCCATCCTGGCCTCCTTTCTTTTTTATCCCGCTTTGCTAAAGCACAAAACCCAGCACACATGGGAGCAGGCGTTTCAACTTTGACGGGCACCACAGTCATCTAAAGGGTTATTAGAACACAGATTTATGCAACCACAGTTTCTGACCTGGGGGTCTGGGGTGGGCCCAAAACTTTGCATTTTTAATTTTCCAGGTAACACTGACGCTGCTGGTCTGGGGACTGTAGTCGAGGTGCCCTGGCCTTTGAGCTGTGGGTTTAGGTGGTAGAGTCCTATTTCCAAGCAATTTCAGATGACAGTTTTACCAGATATTTGCCAGTGTGTGGTATGGGTCCAAATCTGTTTTCCAGATGAGTGATTTCCCTTTGAGTTGTGTTTCAAGGCCAAGGCCCCTCACGTCTCCTGGTTCCACCATCTTCAAGGGCCCCAAGGCCACTGGGCTCATCTGATCTGAGCTGCAGAAGGGTACAGGGCATGGGGCTGTGTCTTGGGGGCTTTGAAGTTGGCCCTAAGAGTAGTACACGTCACATCCACCATATATCACGGCCCAAACTCCACACCAGGTTGCAAGGGAATCTTTGGTTCAGAAACAGAGCCTGTTACCTGAAGAAAGAGGGGAGAGCTTGGTGAGCACCTGCTACAGGGCAAGGGAAGGCCAGGTAGCCTTTGGACAGGCCCCACAGTGTAGTAGGAGCTTGCAGCTAGGCTGGGGATATGCTTTGGCACAGGACCAGATGGTCTGGTGGAGAATCAGATGTGTAGTGTGAAAGTAAGGAGGGAGTCAGAAAGGAATCCAGCATGTTAGGCTGAACAACAGGAAAGATGCGAGCTCTGCACAAGTGGCTTCTGTGGCCGTTTTGTCCCTCCTATATCTCCAACCCCAAGTGCCAGAAACCTAGTAGGCCTCATTATATGTCCTGAATGAGGACGAGGGAAGTTCAAATGGAAAGCTGTAGCTTCCACAAGGATGAAGAAGAAAAACAGGAACATCACAATCTGGAAGAAATTTTACCGACACTTTCAAATGAGGCTCCACTTGTCAGGGCAGATCCCAGTTCATTCTCTGGCACAGACCTGTCCTCATCTGTAAGAGTAATTACAAAGAACCTTGTAAGCTGAAAGTCATTCAAAGAAACGTAAATGAATCTTTTCTTGTTAGAATCGTGAACCCCATGATTAGCTGGAACAGTTTTTCCTGGTGGGGAGGAAGTTGACTGGAGTTTCTTTAACCATGGCATCATACATAGGCGGCCCCTCTCAAGTGCCTACTATGACAAAATGGATGATATGAATCAGAGTTATCTTGTCCTGCCCATATACACTATAGTTGAGAGACCAGGGATGGGAGCACTCAGACAGAGCACACACTGCCTGCCCAGGGATTCTATCTGTTGAATGACTTCCTGCCGAATGACTCGCTGTCACCTAAGATCAGTTTTACCCGGTAGCTGCTGAAGTGAACTGCCATGGCTCTAAGGCCAGTGTTACCTACAACTGTCACTCACTAGTCAGGGCTTGCCAGTTCCCAGAGCCTCACTAGTGCCAGTAATTTGTTTTTCAAAATAATATATTTATCCTTCTAATAAAATCCTCAAACTTCTCTTTGTGCATTGGATATATCAAAGACCACCCCAGTCTGTACGTATGCCCTAAATTGCAATTCTGATTTTCCAAATAAAACATTTTATTTAGAGGTTTCCCTCTAAATTTTCATTTGACTTTGATATATTTGGTGTCAGAAGTGGGATCCAAAGTTATTGAGACATCAACAACTGCTGGAACTACAACACGCAGCCCCCACACTTAGGGTTCTTTAGCCCTCTGCTTTCCCAGGTCGCCCTTCTCCTGAGTGAGTCTTTCTTGGATGGAGCTCCCATTTTTATTTTGATTATTTGCTTTTCTTTGGGATTTAAGATGTGTCTTTTCTCCTCCTGATTATAAGCCTCCTGTTTATGAGGGATTTCTTCCCTGTTAAATGTGGCTTGCTACCCTTCCTGATGAGTATGTACTTTATCTTTAGGTTCATTTGTCCACTTGGATTTTATTTCAGTTTTTGTGCATTTGATATTAAACCAAATCACCTATATAAATTTACTTACAATATGGACTGTCAAAGTTTAAATACTTGCTGAAATGGTACCTCCTTGGTCCTGAGACTCCAGATCACTCAAACAATTTATTTTTCTTAGAACTAAACTAAAAGATTGTGGTTTTATATGAAATATACAATCTAAATAGAACACATTTCTCAACTGGTATCTTCTGGTTCCAAAATGCTTTCAGAACCCAAAGATTGACTCACTGCAAACTACGGTCTCCAAGTAAGCTCAGAGTCTTTTCTCTTCGGCGCCTTCTCCCGACTTCCTACACTTCCTCTTTTTTATCCTCCTGTAATCTAAACTTTCTTTTTTCAAAACTCCTGAGTTATTCTAGTATATTGACTATTTAAGTGAAGACACTTGAAAAATGGCAGTCACACACACACACACACACACACACACACACACACATTTTTAACATCGCAGTGTTTCTCAAAAGCAAAAGAGAAAATTCCCATGTAAAAGTAACCTTCCCTACACTAGAAAGACAATACTTTTATTTTCAAGGATGAGGAATTGCGACCAAAAACATACTGTAAAACTTTATTAGAATAACTCTTATCTTTTAAACCTCCGCACATAATTCAGACACATTTTCACAGTTAACTATGTTATGTCCAATCCAGTATACTGGTAACTGACTCAAACAGCTTTACCAAAAATTTTGTTCACAGTTGATACGGTTTGGCTGTGTGCCCACCCAAATCTCATCTTGACTTGTAGCTCCCATAATCCCCACATGTTGTAGGTGGGACCTGGTGGGAGATAATTAAATCATGGGGGCGGTTTTCCCCATACTGTTCTTGTGGTAGTGAATAAGTCCTACGAGAGCTGACGGTTTTATAAGGGGGTTCCCCTTTTGCTTGACTTTCATTCTTTCATGCCTACCACCATGTAAGACGTGCTTTTCACCTTTCACCATGAGTGTGAGGCCTCCCCAGTCACCTGAAACTGTAAGTTAATTAAACCTGTTTTTCTTTATAAATTACCCAGTCTCGGGTATGCCTTTATCGGCAGTGTGAAAACGGACTAATACAGTAAACTGGTACCAGATAGTGGTAAACCCTGCATGCATTAGCAGGGGTCTCCCTCGCCTTGCCTCCCACCCCAAAACAGACCCCAGTTTGTGATGTTCTCCTCTCTGTGTCCATGTGTTCTCATTGTCCAACTCCCACTTATGAGTGAGAACATGCGGTGTTTGATTTTCTGTTCCTGTGCTAGTTTGCTGAGAATGATGGTTTCCAGCTTCATCCACGTCCCTGCAAAGGACCAGAACTCATTCTTTTTTATGGCTGCAGAGTATTCCATGGTGTATATGTGCCACATTTTCTTTATCCAGTCTATCATTGATGGGCATTTGGGTTAGTTCCATGTCTTTGCTATTGTGAATAGTGATGCAATAAACATACATGTGCATGTGTCTTTATAGTAGAATGATTTATAATCCTTTAGGTATATACCCAGTAATGGGATTGCTGGGTCAAATGGTATTTCTGGTTTTAGATCCCTGAGGAATTGCCACACTGTCTTCCACAATAGTTGAACTAATTTATACTCCCACCAACAGTGTAAAAGTGTTCCTATTTCTCCACATCCTCGCCAGCATCTGTTGTTCCCTGACTTTTTAATGATCGCCATTCTAACTGGCATGAGATGGTATCTCATCATGGTTTTGATTTGCATTTCTCTAATTACCAGTGATGATGAGCTTTTATTTATATGTTTGTTGGCCACATAAATGTCTTCTTTTGAGAAGTGTCTGTTCATATCCTTTGCCCACTTTTTGATGGGGTTGTTTTTCTCTTGTAAATTTGCTTAAGTTCCTTGTAGATCGTGAATATTAGCCCTTTGTCAGATGGATAGATTGCAAAAATTTTCTCCCATCCTGTAAGTTGCCTATTCACTATGATGATAGTTTCTTTTGCTGTGCAGAAGCTCTTCACTTCAATTGGATCCCATTTGTCAATTTTGGGTTTTGTTGCCATTGCTTTTGGTATTTTAGTCATGAAGTATTTGCCCATGCCTATGTCCTGAATGGTATTGCCTTGTCTCAGATGAGCCTTTGGACTGTGGTCTTTTGAGTTAACACTGAAATGAGTTAAGACTTTGAGGGACTGTTGGGAAGGCATGATTGGTTTTGAAATGTGAGGACATGAGATTTGGGAGGGGCCAGGGGCAGAATGATATGGTTTGGCTGTGTCTATCTCATGTTGTCAGAAATATAATTTGAATCCAACTGCCATCTCATACACCAGTGAATTTATATTACTATGTTTTACTCATAATTAATTTTTAAACAAAAGCTGAAAGGTTCTTGTTTTTTGGTCATCTGTATGTTTTTATGCTTTTTCAATGTCTGTATGTTATATGTATACATTTTTTAAACCAGAATATATAAAAGAGCTCTATTGGGTTAAAGAGAAAATAACCATTTAATTAATTCATCACAAATACAGTAATTAACCCAAATACCTCTTAGTTCTCATGACTTAAGTAAATCTTGGTAAATAAGCTAATTTTAAATTTGTTCATAAAGCAAAAATAGAGCTGTTTTCAGAATTGTCAGCATCCATGCTTGCCCGAATTTATTGGTCAGACAGGATTATACTTTTCTCTACTAGATGTTTTAAGGTCATAAAACTATAAATCCAGATTAAAAGCAAACTAATCTTTGTTGATGTAAAATAAGACTAGTTTAGTATTACTGGTTTACTGAAAACAACTGTATCTTCTGAGTTATCAGCTAAGTATCCATATATTTAACTTTAAGAGTCTTACTTAGATGAACATCTGATATTCACATGCTGTTAAAAAAAAAGATTAGAAGGTAACGTGAAATAATTATTAGCTCTGCCTAATGTCTCAGTTTTCATAAAGTATGTATAATTGTTAAAAATAAATAAATTAGATAAATGTAAATGAGATATTTATAAACTTTTCATGTAATTTGAAATCTTACCATTATATTGAATTAAATCATAGATATTGATAAAATATATGAGTTGTTTCTAAATAAGCTAAAATACAGAAACATCAATTGTTAAACATAGATTAATGTTTCTTTATTTTTGCCTTCTTAAATTTTATAAGACAAAAGACTTGTGGATCAATTAATATCATGTCCTGTTCCACATTAAAAGTTGTTCCATAAAAATCATTTTTAGAGATTATAAAATACATATTCATGAGATAAAAATACATTACAATTCAAAATTTCTTCCTGGGTATTTACTAAAAATTAAAGTTACTAAACATTAAGATTTCTAATTAACATATGTAGCTCCATATACAAAGAAAATGTATATGCAAAAGTAATGTGTATGAGTAAGAATTTTGTGTGGTCTCAAAGATAGGGGGAAGAAAAAGTAAAATTTTGTCCTAAGGTACAATGAGTGATTGTTCCAATATTTTAAAAAGGGAAAATAAAGAACAAAAACTGGCAGGTCAAAGCAAATCATGGAGAGTTTATGAAGGATGGATCTTATAAAGGGAGTTTTGTATGTGATTGAATTGGTTAGGATGGGAAGGAAATTGTTTGCTTTTCTAATAATTAAGTATCGGTGTCAGGGGTGCACTGATTAAGGACCAAAGTCTGGTACTCTATGTTTGAAATGGCAAGGTTTTCTCAGAATGTTGATCTGCTGTGGGTTTAAAAAAAAGTTGCAAGAGGTTTTTATCTTAATTCTGAAATCTGGTTTTTTTTTTTTTTTACATTTTCAACCATTTTCTGAAGTAGAGCTTTTTCTTATTTTACAGTTTCTACCTATTTTCAAGTTAGAAGTGTTATCTTCTTCATGTAGGAAAAAAATTCATTTCTCAAGGTAGAGTTTTCCTTTTGAAGCTTTTCAGACCCGTATCTCAATGGCTGGACTTTATATGCAACCCACTCCATGTGATTTACCTTCTGTTCTTTCTTCTTTCCTTAAAAAGGTACATATTGTTGCTTAACTAGAGTTACTCAACTATAGCTAACTATAATTATATA